GCCAACCTCCCGCACACCCCCCCACCCCCCCCCCCCCCACATGAGGATTCTTCCTCTGGAGCCACGGCCCTGGGCTGCACACCCTCCACCCCGTCCCTCCCTTGTCTGGGTTGTCTCCTGTCCGGGCTTGTGACGATGGAGGGGAAGGGTCCTGCCCTGGGTTCCTCTGTGTCATCTTCTTCCCCTTCCCCTAAACAGTAAACAGAGCTAGGGCCAGGAAGACAGCAGATTCGGTGAGGATTCCAATCAACAAACACGATGACATCTGCTTTCAGCCAGACCCTGGGGTGCTGGGCTGGGCTGGGCTGGGGCAGGGTGGGGTGGGCTGGGGTGGGTGGAGCAACCCAGCACCAGGAAGGAGTGGTCCCTGTCCTGGGGCCAGAATCTTGGAAAGAGTTGGCCTGCAGCGTGAAGGGCCTGGGGGGCCTGGGCAGAATGATTCTGGGAGGGACTCACCCAGAGGAGGCCCCAGGGGCTCCCTGTCGAAGGAGCTGGCCAAGGGCACCAGGGAAGGAGGGAGCAAGGCATGAAGCCTGCCTGCTCTCCGCTCAGCGAGCCCTGAGCCTGGTGTGGGCTGTGCACACTGAGGGAAGGACCCTGTTTTCTATTTTGAACAAACACACAGCTCCCTAAGCAGTCGGTGCGCCCTGGGCGAGTGGTGGCCCTGGACAGGGAGGGCTTGAGGGTACGGCCCCATCCTCCCAGCTCCCCACCCACCGTCCCAGAGCCCGAGGAGGACAGAGCCTGTGGCTGGCCGTTTCCTCTGGGTCCCCAGCTCTTGTAAGGTCCCTGGTATGTACTTAGAATGAATGAATGAATGAATGAATGAAGTACAGAGGTGCCCCCAGATGAAGACGGGACAAAGCCAAGCCTGGGCCCTGTGGGGCTGGGGGACTAGTGCCCCGAGTTCTGGCAGCGTCCAGAGGGAAGTGTCTCCTTCCAGGCCTCCCCGAGAATGGAGGGCGGGAGCCATGGTCCCCCGGAGAGGAGAGGAGAGGAGAGGAGAGGAGGGGCTGTGCTGTCACTGGCTCAGGCCCCGGTTGAAGTTGAGGCCAAGGCGATGGTCACAGCTCAGGGTGGGTAGCGAGGGTCAGGGAGGTCGCGGTGCAGAAGGGCCAATGGTCTGGGGTTCAGGGAGTTTTGCAGAGGCTGTGGGACCAGGCGGGTGTGTGTGTGTGGGGGGGGCATTCCCCAGAGAGAAGGCTGTGGGCCAGGGTGAGGGCTGGCGACTTGGGCCAAGGTGGCTCCTGCCTGGGACCCGCGCTTTGGGGTCCGTCCCGGGCCCACCAGGCCAGACGGTGCTGTGTCCCCGT